CGGTCCTAATAATGATAATGGAAAACTGTTATCAAATTATTGCATTGTCATTGATCCTTGATACCTATGCGAAGTTTCACATTAATAAAATTTCTGCAGATTGGTGAAAATTATGCTTAAAGATTCCGTTACTACATACATACTGGCCAAGCTAATAAACGCGTGTTAAAAAAATGAAATGAAAGAAGATATACCACAATCTGCCTCCTGTGAGGATTGAACTGACGACCTCTGGTTTGCAAGTCCAGTGCTCTGCCACTTAGGCCCGTATCGTCAGTCGTCCCTACAATTGTAGGGCGCGTTTATGGCCTCCTTGATTGTCATAGTTTTCTACTTCTCCATGTCAGAGCTCTATTTTGAGGTTATGTCACAAACATCTATTTGCATCAAATTGTGCTTGCTTTTGAGTTATATCATGTTTTATCAGCCTAAAATTTCCTACAATTTAAAAGGAAAACATATCTTAACAATAGGAGAGCGCTGACGCTGACACGGGACGAGTGTAATCTAGAAATTTTTGAAGGAGAGAAAAGAGTATGACAATCAAGGAGGCCATAAACGCACCCTACAATTGTAGGGACGACTGACGATACGGGCCTTAGCTACAAAAGCTTGTAGTTTCACTGTTCGTAAAGCGGCCGGCATTTGGAATCCGTGGCTTTTTATTAGCATATCTTCTATTTACAGAATTTTTAATGGATAATGGCAAACTGTTATCAAATTATTGCATTGTCATTGATCCTTGATACGTATGCGAAGTTTCACATTAATCAAATTTTTGCAGATTAGTGAAAATTATGCTCAAAGATTCCGTTACATTCATACAGGCCAGGCTAATAAAAGCGTGTTGATAAAAACAAAAGACAAGCATTGGCTGATTCTTTCGAGACAACACCCCTCAAATACAAATCCCAACGTCTTTAATGTTCGAAAAGTCCACCTGCAGTATCTCACAGTTCGCAGCTATAAAAAGCGTTAAGCTCTTGCATCAAAACCAAAAACAGACTAACGAACATAAACCGAACACCCTTTTAACAAATAAATCCTCCCCCATCCTACATAAACCAGATAGAAAATAAAAAGCTCTCACTTTTTGTGACACTGGAAGTTTCTTAGCCACCCTTCAGTAGAATGACGGAACGTTTCTGCCATGCTAATTTTTTTCCTTGCAGCCACCTGCTTTTTTACTGAAGCCATAATCGGATTGCGTATATCGTATAAGATGGCGATAAATTACGTTAGGGTGAAGAACCCTGTTCATTTTGGCCCTATTTATATAGAGTACATTGACTTTTTAAGACTCTTTGAACCAAAATTTATTTTTGCTGCTAAAAGGGAAGTTATTTGAGCTACTTAGATGTATGATAAATCTGTCGTGAGCCTCCCGTAGGGAAAAATTCAACGAAAAGGTTACGCTTACAGGCTCACTCAGCCAGTTTGAGGTTTAGTTGCTATATCGCACGCTTGCTACAAAAAAAACTAAGTTTTTGCCAAACCGAAGAAAACTGTTTTCTACACTCTAAATATTTTTTGTAAAAATACATTCGTTCGGATAAATATACTAAGTGACATATAAATCCGAACACCCAGTTTAAATGGTTTTATTTTAATAAAATTTTGTATAAGTACTTAATGAAGCATAATAAGTAAATGATAAAAATTTCAAAATGATTGCACTGCTTTAAAGCCCTTTGACCTTTAATAATGTGTGGATGCACCCTGATGTGCTACGCATTCTCCAACGCGCCTAGGCATGCTTCTGATCAGGTGGTCTCAATGTCCTCCTGTGGTATCTCATTCCAGGCAACCACCAACTCCTCTCGAAGTGCTTCTAGAGTCTGAGGAGGACGTTGCAAATTGAGCAATCTCCTACCCATCATATCCCACAGGTGCTCAATTGGGGATAAGTCGGGAGATCTTGGTGGCCATGGTAACAATGTGACATCATTATGTTGAAAGAAGTCTATTGTGACTCTTGCAACATGTGGTCGGGCATTATCTTGATGGAAAGTTGGATCTGCCAGGGTGTCAAGACAGGGTAAAAGATGGGGTTCTAGAACTTCGTGGATATAACGCTGCGCGTTCATGTTACCTCTGATGAAGATTAAAGGTGACCTGGAACCATAAGCTATAGCACCCCAAACCATAACTCCAACAGTGTGATGAACATGTCTTTCAACAAAAAACTGTGGATTCCTCCTTTCACCACGTCGCCTTCTAACCCTGGCACGACCATCGTGCATGCCTAAACAAAATCGAGACTCGTCACTAAAGACAATTTTGTTCCATTCCTGATCCCAGAGTGACCGTTGTCTGCACCACTCAAGGCGATTACGTCGGTGTTCTCGAGAGGACCCAGTGTGGCCGGTATGAAAACAAGCCAAAACTTCTCATTCGTCGGTACACACTCGCATGCCAATAGGTCTTCCGTGTTCTGCAAACCATTCATTTGCAATGGACCTGGTAGTGGAGAAACGGTTCCTTAAGGCCAATAATCTTAGGCGGCGATCTTCACGGTCTGTTGTTCTACTGCGGCGTCCAGTGCCCCTTGCTCTTCGCGTAAGGCCTTCTCGAAGCCATGCCTGACAACACCTAACCACAGTGTCTACACTTCTTTGCACTCTAACTGCAATTGCCCGAAAAGAAAGTTCAGCTTCCCGAAGTCCCACTATACGGCCCCTATCAAACTCACTAAGTTGACGAAATCGTACAGGTCTCCGTACTCTAGGCATCGTAACCGATCGTAAAGGATGTCAAGAACCAAAATCCGCCAACGTTGATTCTTTACTGCGGCTGAAATATTCATTTTTAGAGCGTTAGTGAATTAAAAAAAAGCAGTATAAAAACCGGAATGTCCAACTGATAAGGCTGAACATTTTTTCACTTGTTATAGTATTACAATAAGATAAATACATTCACCAACTTTATTAAAATAAAACCATTTAAACTGGGTGTTCGGATTTATATGTCACTTAGTATATTTCCAAAACCGACAGTTTAGTTCAGAACTGAAAAGGAGCAAAAGACTTGCGACACTTTTGTTGTCGGTATTATTGAAAATAATAAGGAGAAGTATGAGTATTTATTCATAGTTTTTACCTGAAAATAAATCGCCAACATTATACTATACAAATATTTTTATTTTCTTACACAAATCATCAAAAACAAATTGATTTGGACCTAAATACTGAGCAGGTATTCCTGTCTTTATTCAAGGAAAACAAACACAGCATACAAAAAATCATAATAAGGAATAATGAATTGAAATATTTTTCAGTCTTCATAACTTAAAAAATTTTTGGTTTGAACTGAATCAGATCCTGAGTACATCTTTATAAAACATACATGAATTTGACCCTAAATACTGAACAGGTACTCCTATTTTTATTGAAGGAAAACAAACCAATATACAGAAAATCATAATAAGGAACAATAAGAGGCTTGCCTATAAATTAAAATAATTTTCAGTCTTCATAACTAAAACAATTCCTTCACCAGGTTTGAACTGAATTAAATCCTAAGTACATTTTTATAAAAAGAGTTAGTTCTGTAAGTGCTGTTTTTTAAGTCACTCAGGGGAAACTTAGCTAAGCTAAGCTAACCGAGTCTGCGTTATGCTCTTGGATCTTAGTGTTTTTCACATTATTCATATCGACTTTTCTGAATTCCACCTGTTCATAGAACGTTTTATAGAAGAATGAATCCGGGTATTCCTTACACACTTTAAGTATTTTAATGTCATTCCAGCTAACTTTTCCTTTTTCAGTATCTGTCGTAAAGTTTTTTCGCCACTGTTCTTCTAACGCTTTTAAATCGAATAAATTTTCAAAGGTAAGCCGGTGAACTCTGTAAGGCGAACCACTTTTTTTGCTGTTCGAATTAGTGTTTCATACTCATCAGGTACGTAAGTCGGTCCAGATTTGAGATATTTCCTAATTTGCTTATAAATAATACTGTACATTAATCCCCTTATTTTGAGAATGCCCGTTTATTAAATATTGATGAATGATACTGCGGATTGGCAGTTTTGTTTATCGCGTAAGAGTAGGCAGTGACTAAATACTTATTCTTCTGCTGACGACAACAGTTATCTGAATATAATATTACATTCAAAGGTGAGCAGTCTCACTTTCCTCAACAAGTGGTTGAGGTAACGAAGTACGCAGCTTCCAATTTCAATCGCTGCACGTTTTCCTTCAGTCTCATTCTAAAAGTAGCAATTGACGTTTTTTTCCCTTGTAATGAAATTGTAACAATTCAGTTTAGTCTGTAGGTCATACACTGCGACGATTGAACCATTTGTATTTTTTTACCAGCTTCCTTCTCTAGACGGGACAGCTTCTTTCTTTCATGTGGAGATTGTACTTGTCCATCAATTTTGTTGCCTTCATCATCTGCATTTGTATGGGAAAAGCAAAGATCGCGCTGATCTTTTTTGGGTATATAAAATGAAATGTTATATTCGCCATTGAATATACGATTAAACATCACATAATAGGCGTACGGAAGTTGTTGACTTTCCCGATCTTCTTTTTTTTACTATCAATATATTCTCGAGTAGTTTGAGCCCTCAGATAATGCGATTCAATCGGGGTATGGCATTTATAAATTTTCTCACGATATCTTTAATTTCGGGATTCACCTGTGGTTGTTTACCATGTTTTCCTCTTTGATCAGCGATAATAAGACCCTCATCGGTTCTTTTTTGTAACGCTGTTACGAATAGGACTATCTTTAATGTTGAGGGTGGCCTTAAAAAATATCTTGCGTACCCTAATGCGATTTCCGTTGAGATTGAAATAAAATGCCGAATTCATTTGTCTATAATTTTCCGTACATGAATAACGGTATTTCGGTCCCAATACCCAGAAAAAATGTTTTCTTCGTTGATTTTTTTACTGCACTGCAGTCTGCATTTTCGCCACATGGGGGGGCTAATTTTCTTTCTGAAAACTGTTTTTTGGTTTTTGACAATGAAACGTAAGCTTTTCCCGAATTACTTAATAATTTAGTCTTTTTAAAGACCAGCTACCAACACTCCGTTTTTCTTTCTTGCCGTTTGTAGCTTCTATCTCTGCTAAGTTTCCATTTATAACTTCTTCTGTACACTTCGTTGAACTTTTGTCACCACCGGGATGCTTGTTGATGAAATCTGGATCTGCACCCGAGTCGCTTTCTCCGCTATGTATGGGCGAGACATAATAATTTTTTGATTTTCTTTTTAAATGAACAACTGTAGGACGATCCATATTACAAGATCTGTGTAATAGTTGCTACATCCAGGCTGAGGAGTGTTGCTTGTAGCCTCTTCGAAAATGATCTCTGACCGGATAGATTCTTGAGTTACGGTCTCCATCGTGAAGTTTTCTTGAGGCTGGTAATTGGTAGTGTTACAATGTTTATCTTATAAACCAAATCGTATCTTCTAATATCACTGAAATTGTCAGAATCAGTTGGAATCTTCTCAGTTGTACATGTTTCGGCTTCAATCATCGAACTCAAAAGCAAGTCATTCAGTTGAGAACCAATTTTCAGCATTAAGATCTTCATTAGGTGCTGGTATTTTATTACATTTCGTTGTTTCTGGCGGATATGTTGCTTGATATGCAGCGATACCCTGCTTAACAATAAAAGCTGTTCGACTTGAGATATCCATACCGTTGCCTACAACAAAAAAAAACAAAGCTAGAGAGACAAAAACTTTGATGTCTTATACTACGATTGGAAACATTATTAGGTAGGTAAATCGAGTGTGTTACAATTTGGTACATTTTTGAGACAACAGGATTTATTTTAACGCCTGGGATAGGAAATGACTTAAACATGTAATACATAAATATTATGTAGTATTATGACGGAAGGGGTAAACAACAACCGTGCATAATAGTGAGAGCGACCATATATAATAAGATAGATCCAGATGCCATCAACAAGAATCCCGGTGCAGTGACAAAAGTTCAACGAAAAGTAATGATGAACCTCTAAATGAAAGCGTTGCAAAGACACAAACTACAAAACGCAAAAAAAATAAATTTTGATAACTGGTCTTCGAAAAAAACGAGTTGTTAAGAAATTCTTGACAAGCTTATTTTTGTCAAAAACGAAAAAACGTCAATAAAAGGTAAGTAAACATATTTATATAGTTTCATTTGGGCTGATAATCATGAAGTCCAACCACAGGTGAACCCCGAAGGGGGGTAATGTCATACCCCGATTGAATTGCACTGTCTCTAAAGGCCTAAAATATTCGGAAATATATCGATAGTGGTAAAAAGGTTATGGACCTCTATAGATATTATGAAGAAGAGCGAGAAAAGGAACTTCAGTATTCCATTACTGTCTGTGATTTAATTCCAGATTTCCTCATTAAATAAGCCTTGAAGTACTCGCCCAGTATATATGTTTAATTTAAGGATAAGAAGTGACACATTTTCTGTGAAATACATATCAAACTACTTCCTACATATACTAAGTGACATATAAATCCGAACACCCAGTTTAATGGTTTTATTTTAATAAAGTTGGTGAATGTATTTATCTTACTGTAAATAACAAGCGAAAAAATTTTCAGCCTTATCAGTTTGGACATTCCGGTTTTTTACTGCTTTTTTTTAATTCACTAACGCTCTAAAAATGAATATTTCAGCCGCAGTAAAGAATCAACGTTGGCGGATTTTGGTTCTTGACATCCTTTACGATCGGTTACGATGCCTAGAGTACGGAGACCTGTACGATTTCGTCAACTTAGTGAGTTTGATAGGGGCCGTATAGTGGGACTTCGGGAAGCTGGACTTTCTTTTCGGGCAATTGCAGTTAGAGTGCAAAGAAGTGTAGACACTGTGTTATGTGTTGTCAGGCATGGCTCGAGAAGGCCGTAACGCAAAGAGCAAGGGGCACTGGACGCCGCCGTAGAACAACAGACCATGAAGATCGCCGCCTAAGATTATTGGCCTTAAGGGACCGTTTCTCCACTACCAGGTCCATTGCAAATGAATGGTTTGCAGGACACGGAAGACCTATTGGCATGCGAAGTGTTTACCGACGAATGAGAAGTTTTGGCTTGTTTTCATGCCGGCCACCACTGGGTCCTCCCTTTAACTCGAGAACACCGACGTAATCGCCTTGAGTGGTGCAGACAACGGTCACTCTGGGATCAGGAATGGAACAGTATTGTCTTTAGTGACGAGTCTCGATTTGTTTAGGCATGCACGATGGTCGTGCCAGGGTTAGAAGGCGACGTGGTGAAAGGAGGAATCCACAGTTTTTTGTGAAAGACATGTTCATCACACATTTGGAGTTATGGTTTGGGGTGCCATAGCTTATGGTTCCAGGTCACCTTTAATCTTCATCAGAGGTAACATGAACGCGCAGCGTTATATCCACGAAGTTCTAGAACCCATCTTTTACCCTATCTTGACACCCTGGCAGATCCAACTTTCCAACAAGATAATGCCCGACCACATGTTGCAAGAGTCACAATAGACTTCTTTCAACATAATGATGTCACATTGTTACCACGGCCACCAAGATCTCCCGACTTATCCCCAATTGAGCACGTGTGGGATATAATGGGTAGGAGATTGCTCAATTTGCAACGTCCTCCTCAGACTCTAGAAGCACTTCGAGAGGAGTTGGTGGTTGCCTGGAATGAGATACCACAGGAGGACATTGACCACCTGATCAGAAGCATGCCTAGGCGCGTTGGAGAATGCGTAGCACATCAGGGTGCATCCACACATTATTAAAGTCAAAGGGTTTTAAAGCAGTGCAATCATTTTGAAATTTTTATCATTTACATATTATGCTTCATTAAGTACTTATACAAAATTTATTAAAATAAAACCATTTAAACTGGGTGTTCGGATTTATATGTCACTTAGTATATTTAGAATTTTCAAAAACTTGAAAGGTTTACGTAGTTAATTCGTTAGAGTTTCGTTAAATTTGTTACAACAAAAGTGACATAAATCAAAACATATTACAACAAAAGTGACCTAAAACAAATTATATTTGAACATTTGTGTTACTTTAAGCAACTAAAGCGACACAACTTTATATAAAACAAATTTTGCTACAGATTTCTAACCTCTAAACTGACTTAATTCAAAATATTAGAAGAACTATACTCACCGTTATTCATCAAAAACGACACAAATCAAAATAAGGCGGTTTGAATGCATTCACGTAACACCTTTACTGTATTGAAGACAGGGTACAACTGAAAATATCTTTGTTTAATACAAACGGAATCTGCAAAAGCGACACATATGCCACCACCTAGCGGTCAATGAACAAAGTTAATTTATTACTCTTTCGTTAGAAGGTAAACCATTATTTTCACCTGTGATTGCTAGTAACAACTCAAAATTCACACTTTTGGAGTTGTGTCACTTTTGTAGCAAGGGTGCGATATGTACGAGAGCAAAAGATAATTTTTATGTAGGGATGTCTTGAAAAGCAAATAACGGGTGAATTTTTAAGAGGTATAGGATTTGATTTAAAAAAAAAAACACAAAAAATTTGAAAAAACGATTAAATCTTTATTTGAGTCGATAGAACGGTCGATATAATTTAATGTTTAAAGATTATTTCATGTAAATGTTGGCCGCGGCTCCGCTTTAGATGGTCCATGCGCAAGGTCCAATTTTGGCACTCTCTCTCCAACATATCGGCCGGTATCTCACAAATAAATGCTTCAATAGTGGCTTCCAGTGCGTCCATCGTTGCTGGTTTATCCCTGTAGACATTAGCATTAACATGGCCCCACAATAAATAGTCCAACGGCGTTAAATCACACGATCTAGGCGGCCAATTGACGAGCTCCAAACGTGAGATAAACTGTTCACCGAACTCGCCTCTCAATAGGGCCATTATTTCGTGTGCGGTGTGGCATGTGGCACCGTCTTGTTGAAACCACATGTCAGCCAAGTCCAGCTCCTCCATTTTGGACAAAAAAAAGTTTGTTATCGTCGCACGGTAGCGCTCGCCATTCACAGTTACGTTCCGGCCATTGTCGTCTTTGAAGAAGTACGGCCCGATGATGCCACCGGCCCATAATCCACACCAAACAGTGATTTTTTCGGGATGCATTGGTAGCTCTTGCAATGCTTCTGGCTGGTCTTCACTCCAGATGCGGCAATTTTGCTTGTTAACGTACCCATTCAACCAGAAATGAGCTTGTCGCTGAATACAATTTTTCGATAAAAACGTGGATCTTCCTCCAACTTTGCCAGCGCCCATTCACCAAATTAGAAACGTTGTGGGAGGTCGTGTGGCTTCAATTATTGCAGCAGCTGTATCTTATAAGGTTTTATACCCAAATCCTGTCGCAAAATTTTCCAAGTAGTGGAGTAACAGAGGCCCAATTGCTGCGAACGGCGGCGAATCGACATTTCACGGTCATCACTAACACTGGCGGATACAGCCGCAATATTTTCTTCAGTCTTCACTCTACGTCTGCGTGTTGGTGGTTTAATGTCCAATAATGTAAACTGGGTTCGAAATTTAGTCACAAGCTTCCGAATAGCTCCCTCAGTAGACCGACCAAATTGCCCATACATTGGAAGCAATGTTCGTTCGTAAGTCGATTCATGGCTAAATTATAGACCAAACTGAACAAGTTTGACAATGACACAAGACACGATTCGCGCGTCATCTGTCAAAAACATACTAGCAAAAAAATCACCCATTAGTATACACGCCGCAAGAAACAGGTGCCCTGTTAATAATGTGATACTTCTCAAAAGAAATACAGTGGGGTGATATGATACCTTTGCCTCACCTCTAACAAGCGACCATGAAAGCTGCTCATAAACTGTAGATGCTCTCTGGAGAGAGGGAACCTCTGCCAGTAATAATGTACATTAAAAGCTCCCCATAATGCTTTTTGTTGATAACTAATATTTTCTCTAGTTTCAAAAAATTCACACTTCGGGCAGGAAGCGCCGGCAGGGTAATACTGTCGAGTTTTTCTGTCTAAGAGTGGCTATAAAGGCTTTCCCCACTCAAAAAAATACAAGTCGGCACACCAGCGACCCGTACTGCAAAAAACGAAAGGACATTATATTCACTGAATCAAACCAGTTACGTCACAGCGTTAAATAATGACAGTGACGCACGTTGTTGCCTCATTACTTAAAACTACTGGATCCTAGGAAATAAACCACAGTCGTTGGCGTAATTAGGTACCTGACAATATCACAACACAGAAAACTGTTACCAACCTAAATGTACCCGGGAAATTAAAACT